CTTTTATCATTAGAAAAAGATATTTCTAATAAATTGGACAATTTTTGGGTTTCTAGAAACAAACAAAAATTAAATTCTATAAAAATTGATTTGTTAAATCGAATTAAAAATCTTGACAAACCAGTATCAGTCCCAATACTAGAAATTGAAACAACCAAAACGCGATTATGTATACACAATGATGAGACTAGAAAAGAATACTTACCAGAAGAGTATGATCCCTTGTTAAATGGGCCTTCCCGCGGAAGACTAAAAAAAGATATAACGTTGATAAACGAGACTTCGATCAAAAAGTTGAGAGAGAAGGTTATGCTAAATAGACTTCATGCTTTATTGTTGATGTCTCCTTTTGAAAAAAAGGAAAAAAAAACCATTACAAGTTGGTGAGTTCTCAACTTTATCATCGAGTTTCAATTTAACGGATTCAGAACAACTAACAAAATTTTTAGTAAATGTAATTGAGACAGACGATAAAAAATATTCTGCAATAGAAAAAATAGGTAAAGAAGAGATTGGTAAAAAAAGTCCCCGGATGGTCATACAAATTAATAACTGAATTGGAACAAATATCGTATTTTAGAAATCCACCAGATGATCATGATATTCGTTCAAGAAAAGGGATAAGTGTATTAATTTTTGAAGAGCCTAAGACTCTCAAAGATAAGACTACAAACAAAGATAAGAATACAAAAGAGACAAATATTCAAGCTATAAAATCCGACAATGATGAGAAAGATAAAAATATGAAAAAGAAAAAGGAAGATGAGGATAATAAGCTTTATTTGTTACGATATCCGCACCAATCTGATTTTCGCCAAGGCTTAATAAAAGACTCTATGCGAACTCAAAGACGTAAAATAGTTATTGAGGGACTTTTTAAAGCAAATGCGCATTCCCCTCTCTTTTTTGACAGGATGAGGAAAAAAACCTTTTTTTCTATACCATACCTGGCTCAACTGAAACGACTTTTTATAAAATGGTCATCCAGAAACGAGTTCGGTATTTTAGAGTCTACAGAGGAAAAAAAAACAATAATAAAAAGAGAAACCAAAAAGGAAAAGAAACGACGAGAGGAAATAGAACGGTTAGAGATAGGGGAAGCCTGGGAAACTTTCCCATATACCCAAATAATAAGAGGTTTGTTATTAATAACCCAATCAATTCTGAGAAAAAAAATTCTATTACCTTCATTCATAATCGGGAAAAATATAGGGCGTATGCTACTATTTCAAACTCCTGAATGGTCTGAAGATTTAAAGGGATGGAATAAAGAAACGCATGTGAAGTGTACTTATAATGGTATTCCGTTAGCTGACAAAAAATTTCCGGAAAATTGGTTGACAGAAGGTATTCAAATCAAAATTTTATTTCCTTTCTGTCTAAAACCTTGGCACGAATATAAATCACTAACTTCTCGTGATGACTTTTGTTTTTTAACAGTTTGGGGAAGGGAAACAGAACACCCTTTTGGTCATCCACGACAAACACCTTCGTTTTTCGAGCCTGTTTTTAAGGAACTTTACAAATTTGTAAAAGTAAAAATCAAATTTTTAAAAAAGTTTTCAAAAAAAAAAACAAGTTCAAACGAAAAAAGAACAATACACCCGAGTTTAATAAAAAAAGAAAAAGATGATCAAATAAATAACCAGATAATGAATCAACCCTTGAGTAAAATTGAAAAAATTACAGATTGGAAAAATTATTCACCGATAGACAAAATACAGGCTATTACTCATAGGACAAATACAATTAAAAAAAAACTAGAAAGAATTACGGAAGATAAGAAAAGGCTGACTCTAGAACTAGATATGAGCCCTTACAAAAAAAGTTCGAGATTAGCCTTGTCAAAAAATTTTTGTCAAATGTTAAAAATAAAAAAAAATAGATTAAGATATAAATTTCATTATTTTATAAAATTATTGATTCAAAGAATATCTAACTATATTTTTTTATATACTATATCTATTTGCCAAATGACTGAAAAACTCTTTGTGGAATCAACAAAAATGAACTCTCTTTCAAATATAAAAACGCATAATAATAAGCGTTATAAGGAAAAGCCAGAGAATTTTGGTGATTTATCTAACTTGTCACAAGCATATGTATTGTACAAAATATCACAAAGGAGTTTTTTGAACGTATCTAATTTGATGTCTGTTCTTCAACAAAATGGAACATCTTTCTTGATTGAAAAGAATTTCTTTATTAAAAAAAAAATAAAAGACTCATTTCATAAACAAGGAATACTTCAATCTGAAGGAATAAAAAAAGAACTTAAGCGGTCTAGAACGAGTCAATGGAAATTTTGGTTAAGAGGGAATTCTCAATACGATTTATCTCCTAATTTCTGGTCTGCCTTAAGATCACAAAAACAAAAATGGAGAAATAGGGCGAATCGCTATCGTAGGTCTAAACAAAAAGATTTACACAAAAGGAATTCCAGTAGAAAATTAAAATTAAATAATTACAGGAAACAAAAGGATGCTAACTCAGTATTTAATAAAAAAAAAAAAGATAATTTTAAAAAATGCTGTCAATATGATCTTTTAGCATATCAATACATTCAGTATGAAAAAAATAGTGGACCCCCTCCAGGAGCTAAACGGGAAACGATTTCTTATCATTACAAGATGTCACAAAACAACTTGTTTGCGATAACGAAAAATCTTCCTATCACTAGTTTCAGAGAAAAAATAGAAAGGGTCAATATCCCCTATACAGACAAAAATTTAGAGAGAAAATATTTAAATTTGAAAAAGATTAATTTTTCTCTTGATAAAAAAGCGGATATTGAGTCCTGGATCACGGGTAATGATAACAATACTCAAAGTACTCCAATTTTCACTTATAATTATCAATTAATTGATAGAATGGAAGAGATTGTGAAAATTGAGCAAATTTTTAAAAATGAAAAAGATCCTTTTGCTCTTTTGATTCAGACAAATACCGAAGAAAGGAATCTAGTAAATTCTAAAAATTCTTTATTGGATTGGATGGGACTGAATGAAGCAATACTCGACCGTCCATTAACGGCTGAGGAACTTTCGGTCTTCCCAGAATTTCTGTGGTTTGTTAATATATATAAAATGAAACCATGGATTATACCAAGCCAATCACTTATTTCTAATTTGAATCTCAATGATGAAATGACGAATCAAAAGATCGGTAAAATTAAGAATAAAAACAAAGATAAAAAGGATAAAAAGAAAACTGAGGGTGAAACCAAAGGTAAAACTGAGAGTAAAAAAAAAGATAAAGCCGAGGGTCAAACCAAAGGGGAAACTAAAGGTGAAACCAAAGGTGAAACCAAAGGTGAAACCAAAGGTGAAACCAAAGGGAAAACTGAAGGTGAAACCAAAGGTGAAACTGAAGGGGAAACCCAGGGGGAAACTGAAGGGGAAACTGAAGGTGAAAAGAAAAGTCAAACTGAGATAGAACTAGAGTTATTCCTGAAAAATTATTTATTTTTTCAATTTAGAGAGGATGAGGATGTTACTTTTAATCAAGGCCTTTTCCAAGATCTCCAGATCTATTGTCTCTTGCTTAGAATGCTAAATCGAAAAAAAATGATGCTATCATGGATTCAAAGGGAAAAGTTAAATTTGGGTCTAATGCCACAGATGAATCAGGAAGAGAGTATTCAAGATTCAAAAAATTCAAAAAGAAATGTTCCAGATTCAAAACAGAGTGTTCCAGATTCAAAACAGAGTGTTCCAGATTCAAAAAATTCAAAAAGAAATGTTCGAGATTCAAAACAGAGTGTTGCGGATTCAAAAGAGAGTGTTCCAGAATTTTTAAAAAGGACGGGATTTTTGGTTGACCCCCTTCCGCTGTCTATCAAACCAAACGGAGAATTTCTTATGTATCAAACCATAGTTCTTTCATTGGTTCATAAGAGTAAAGAAATTCTTAATCAAAAATACGTAAAACAACGAATAATTCGCGCTGAAGAGAACAATAATTGTGATCCGCTTCTTATTGAAAATATTTTATCATCTAGGCGTCGTAGAGAATTAAGAACTCTAATTTGTTTCAATTCAAACAAATGGAATGGCGTGGATGCAAATTCTCTAGTTTCCAACAAAAATCAAGTTTGGGAGGAAAGTAACCCTCGGCATAAGGATCCGAATAAATTGATTGAATTTTTTCTTTGGCCTAATTATCGATTGGAAGATTTAGCTTGTATGAATCGTTATTGGTTTAATACTAATAATGGGAGTCGTTTCAGTATGTTAAGGATCCATATGTATTTACCATTGAAATTTAATTGGTGGAAATTTAATTGATAGTAGTACTATCTACCCTCTAGCAGGGTAGATGGTACCAGGTTAGATGAAAAGCAATGAATGGAAATATACCTTATTTTAATTTGTATCTAACTGAATCGAGGATACCATATATTTATTTAGATCTATATAGATACTTTCTCCCTCATCCAAAGAATATTAAGTTGAAATAATTCACTTTTATTTTATTAATGAACCCGAAAAGAGAGGGTTTTCTTTTGATTTGAATTGATAGACTTAGTTAGAAGAATTCTTTTTTAGCAATAAATGTCTTTCACATCCAGTGATAACCTGTAAATCATTTTAAATGGCAGTTCCAAAAAAACGTATTTCGAAAGCCAAAAAGCGTATTCGTAAGAACATTTGGAAAAGAAAGACTATTGAGGTAAGATTAAAAGCTCTTTCATTAGCAAAATCTCTTTTAACGGGTAAGTTTACAAGTTTTTTTTACAAAAAAAATAAAAAAACATTGGATTCATTTCTGTCAAGTTGATTTCTTGTATAATATTTCTTCTTTTTTCTTATCATTTTCTTTCTTTATTTTTCGTTAGTTCGTTTTAGTTACTAATCAATTATTTCATATCTATGAAATAAATCTATAACTTAATTATAAAAAATTATTTTAAATGCATATTATATATCAATGAAGGGAGTTCATTTAGTTTATGATAAAAAACTTATCTCTTTCGACTATTTATAAAAACCAAAACCAACAAAACAGAGGTTCCGTTGAATTTCAAATATGGAATTTCACCAATAGAATACACCGGCTTACTTCCCACTTGAAATTGCATAAAAAAGACTATTTATCTCAAAAAGGTTTACGTAAAATTTTGGGGAAACGACAACGACTTTTAGCTTATTTATCAAAAAAAAATACATTGCGCTATAAAGAATTAATTGATAAATTGGAGATTAGAGAGACAAAAACTCATTCATTTTGAAGTTGTATAGCTTTTAGAACCTATTTTATACGTAAATTTTAGAACTACAGTCTGGGTACTGAAACAATTACAAAAGAATAGCTCAGGGTAGTGAATAGAAAGACATCATGTCCTTTTGTCTATTGATTCTTACTGTATAAATTTGAAGGGATTTTTTATTTAAAACTTTAAAACGGCAGATTTAGTTAATTCAAAAAAAGAATCCTTTTTTACCCT